CGGACACACAGACGGACCCACAGACAGACGGACACACAGACGGACACACAGACATAAAGCAGTAGAATACTGATGAGTCAGTAACCATGAACATTACAGTAAACAACCTGAAGGAAGTCAAACTCTTTATAAAATAAAAGTCTTATTAAAGGTTTGTCTCATCGTCTCGTCTCTGTATCGTCCACCTGCAGACGCAACCCCCGGGGCACCTACCCATCATGCACCGGGGGCTCAACAAAGACCTCACACAGTTTGACACGCCTCCAAACCTGGAGACCGTTGATAACGTTACCGCGGCAACGGGCTTTGTTTCTCCGCTTTATCGGTGACTCTGTGATTGGTCCGGACCACCTGATGGCAGTTTGACCTCTGACCTCCTCCCTGCTGCTGATGTCATCCTGCTGCGTGTGTGTGTGTGTGTGTGTGTGTGTGTGTGTGTGTGTGTGTGTGTGTGTGTGTGTGTGAGAGTGTGTGTGTGTGTGTGTGTGTGTGTGTGTGTGTGTGTGTGTGTGTGTGTGTGTGTGTGTGTGTGTGTGTGTGTGTGTGTGAGTGTGTGTGTGTGTGTGTGTGTGTGTGTGTGTGTGTGTGTGGTGTGTGTGTGTGTGTGTGTGTGTGTGTGTGAGTGTGTGTGTGTGTGTGTGTGTGTGTGTGTGTGTGTGTGTGCTGTATACTGCTGCTGATTACTCGTGTGTTTGTGTTTGTGAATGAATCGTGTTTTTGTGTGTGTCATGAGCTGCTATTCACACACCACAACTGCAGATTACACACACACTTTGTCAATCACTCGCTTTAACACACTGCTATTCACACACACACACACACACACACACACACACAGTTGAGAGTGTGTGTTGTGTTCCAGTGAAGCTTTCAGCTGTAATTAAAGTTCATTAAAGTTTATTGAAGGTGTTTGAAACGCTGGCGTCTGATTGGCTGACGGGTTAATGCGGCGGCGGCTCCTTGTGCGGCTGCAGCTGCCGCTTCCCGTTCATTAAAGACAGCGCTCGCTTCTTAACAAGCCGAGAGGTGCGTGACGTCATCGCGGCTTCCTGTCAGAGATTGAAGACACCTGCAGACTCACCTTCACGATGCACACACACACACACACACACACACACACACCGGGGTCAAAGGTCACCGAGGAGTCCACACAGAAACATTGAACTATTTGTGTATTCGTGCTGATGAGTGAACTGTTCTTCCTGTGGGACTCTGTGTGTGTTCTCTGCACTGTGAGTCATATTTTTAGATTCAGTGCGACATCATCTCTGTTCGCCATCGCCAGCAAACGTCCGTCAATCCGCTCAGAAATCATTAAAAAACAACGTTTGTACATTATCTTCAGAATCACTGTGGGTCTTTGTGGTCGTTGTACGTCCATCAAAGTAATCTAGTGTCTGTACACGAGGCCACTGCTAACAGCTAATTGTGCCTCCTTTAAATACTTTAATACTTTAAAGCCGTTATCTCAAACTGCTCCTTCTTACACGATTCAAATAAAAGAGTCAGACGCAGAAACCTGGCTCCAGATAACAAAGGGAAGCAACTCTGAGAGATCATTTAGTTTTAATCAGAGTTAATACCAGTGACCAACATTATCGCACACAATACAAACACCAAGTATTGATCAGTTTGAACAGTATCGGTACGACTGCAGGTGGATTCACACTGGGAACCCATTCACAGCTTCATCTTTCATTAATCTGTCTTTAATTATTTACAGTTGACAGATATATATTTGATATAATAATAATAATGATAATAATATAAATCATCAACTTAACTTTAGTCTGACCTTAAAGGTTTGGTCTGAACAGTCGATCGTCTGATTGTTGAACTTTGACCTGCACATCTGTAGAGCCCGTCATGTGACCTGAGAGTGTGTGTGTGTGTGTGTGTCAGCTGTCAATCACCAGCTCCCATTAAGGTTCACTTCCTGAAAGCTTTTCTTAACAAAGAGCTAATGAATTAAAGGAGCTGCTAATCTGACAGCAGCAGCTGCTATACACACACACACACACACACACACACACACACATACAGGTTTTTGTACTAAGCGGCCCCTGCTTAGGTGTGGACTTTGGGGAGTAGAGCATTAGCATTATTAGCTTTATGTGAAACATGGTGCTAACACATATCCATCTGCTCACAGGAGCCTCCTGAAGTTCTTAAATATATAATATAATTATATAAAGTTTCCCAGATTCCCTTCTCATGGGTGCGGCGAAGGGACCTTGCTGATTGGAGTACAACGGGCTCAGATCCTGGAGTCGGTCCCTGGGCGCCACATGGTGGATGCTCCTAGTACTTGGGATGGAGGTCAGTGAAGGATAACTTTACTGCCGGTTACTGATTCCTTTAATCACACAAAAACACAAAGCTCAGCCAGATAACAAAACCTGCTGAAGTCAGTTTGAACTCACTGGTTTTCCTCTCCACTGAAGTTGTTCGTTAAAACCAGATCCCAGACCACAACCATCCCCACACTACAAAAGCCTACTTTCAGTCCTGTTGCAGAGAACAGACACCGGTGAGACAATTACACCAAAGCTGAGGTTAGTTAGACAAAATATCTGCAGTAAAAGTTGTGTTAAAGTTGTGGCTTTAAAACCTGAATCATCAACACTGTGTGAGATTTACCAGCAAGCAAATTATTCACGCGGCGGTGCAGTACCACAGATCAAACTACAGGGGGCGCTGTGTTGATACACAGATTAAACACAACGTCTGGTAATTGTGGACTAGAAGGACTTTCTCTAAAGGCTCTCTAGAAACACTTAACACACCTAATAAACACAATGTCCACACTTCATCCACAAAAACCAACACTCATGCAGACACACACACACACACACACACACACACACACACACACACATACATATCCTCTGTGTGTGTGTGTGTGTGTGTGTGTGTGTAGAGGCTGAGGACCAGTTAAGAGAAGGTATTTGGCAGCAGGTGTGTATAATGAAATAATAAGTGAGGTTAATGACGTAGATTGAAGTCTATATATATATATATATTTATATATATATAATTATAATTATAGGTATATATATATATAATTATAAACATATATAATTATATTGTTATGAGCAGAATTACTAACAGTGTTTTTAAAAGGTGCTATATAAATAAAGTTGTTATTTATTACTATAAGTTATGTGTTTTTCTCTGACAGACATTTTCTTCCTTCAGAATAATCTGCGTATTTATATCGAGTGAGGAATTTAAACGTATCGCAGGGATCAATATACGATCAATATACGATCAATATACGATCAATATACGAGGAGTTTGGCTCTTTAGGTGAAGCTCATCCTGTATGTTGGACTGAAGCACTTGTTTTAAGATTATTTATATTTAACACTGGTGCATAAATACTGTGGTTGCTTTTCTTGAGCGGCCATTTTGTTTGTTGTTCTGTTTTATTGTAGATTTTCGGTATTTTATTTTGTATTTTAATGTTTGTTCAGCTGCTGTTTCTCTCAAAGAGACTTCCTGGTAAAATAAAGGTAAAATAAATCAAATATAAAACCTTTCCTGTAAATATACAATAGAAATACGTCCTTTTCTTCACAATTTAAACTTTTTCTGAATCAACTAACAGTTAAATTTTGTAATTTTATTTGGTTTTCTGCCACATATTCTTTTGTTGAGTATTTAACTTTAAGTTGTTTAATTGCTCTTTATCCTCAGTGCACACTAAAGTTAATATAACATATTATAATAATCCTCCCAAACGTTTGACTCACTCATTCACATGAATTAAATCCAACTCAAAAATAAACTGTTGAAGTAATAACTCAGTTGTTTTTAGTGAACTTAATTGTGTAGTATTTTAATTATTGGTTTACGATATAATTCCAGTTTGTTCCATTGACTCATTTTTACGTCAACTTTATATCATTATAAAAATCTAAGTCCCAAAATTAATAGGCAACCATTTTTAAGCTACAGGTGATAATAAGTAATAATTTGCTTTAGTGGAAGAAAACTGAGTAAATTCAATTTAAGCAGTAACATTTATATAAAGAAGATCTAAGTGACTTTATTCAGATACAGTTTGGAGAAATGCTGCACATGTGTGTAAAATACCTTTAAGTACAATTAACTTAATTTACCTTCACAATAAATCAGTTACTTCTACTCATATCTGATATTTTTTTATGCTTTAATTGTTGGGGTTAATCAATTTAAACTGTTTAAGGTTGAGTTGAACTAACTCGTCAGGTTTTACAGTGTGAAAGAAAGGAAGGAAAATGCTTCTGAAAAACATTTTCTAAACTGAGTTAGACCTGATAAACATTAAAAAACAGGAGATAAAATGCACTTGCCTTGTTTAAATGACAGTTTAATTGATTTCCTGTCATATAAACATTATATCTGATCTTTTAGGAGAATATTGGCTGAAGAAAAAAAATGTTTGTAGTTTTTATTACCAGAAAGCCCTGAGTTACGCCTGCAGGCAATACTCAGGGCAAATAAACTAACTCACAATGTGAGGAGGAAGTTGACATATTAATAAGTTCAGTTAAACTAATTATTAGTATTGTAGCTTCTTTTAGTTGTTTTGTTTCTATTTTGTGTTTTACTCTGAAAATATGACGGAAATATAAAAAAAATCTAGAAAACAATTAAAAAATTAAAGATAAAAGGATTAAAATGCTCTGTGAGTTGCAGTATTATATATAAAAATGAAATATCTTTTATCCTCTGGGCGTCAATAAAGTGAGATTGTATTGATCTGATCTGGTTGCTATGGCGTCGCTGTGTGTTCATTAACCTTCATTAACCGATGTTTCACTACTCAGCCTCCTCTCAGCTGTTAATGTGCAGCTCTCATTTAATCAGCTCCAATAAAAGCCTGCAGCTCTTCAACCTGATGAAGATTTTTATTTCTTCTACTCCTCTCCTCCTCCTCTCCTCCTCCTCCTCCTCTCCTCCTCCTCCTCCTCCTCCTCCTCCTCTCCTCCTCCAGCCGCAGAAAGGACGGAGCGTTTGTCTCAAACAGATTTTATTCAAACCGACAATTAAAAATAGTTTCATCAAGTTTTACATTCAGAAAGAATCAGCCCAGAAAAATCTACACAGTTCGTCCAAACTACTCAGGATCCGTTTGTACAGTGAGTGATGAAGAGGAGGGGAGGATGAGGAGGCTCTCAGCAGGAGGTGAAGGTCTTCCAGAAGAAGTTCTTGCAGCCGGCTTTCCTCTCTCGGGGGGCGAGCAGCGGCCCGCTGCCGGCGGCCCGTTCCAGATCCATGTGGATATCTTCAGGTTCTCCTTCGGCCAGAGGGAAATTCTCCTCCTCCAGAGCCTCGTTCTCCACCTGCAGGAGGTCCGACAGGAGCAGCTCCGCCAGGGAGGACCGAGACATGTCCTGAAAACACCACCAAATGTTAGACACTGTAAAAACAACTATATACATAAATATATATATATATAATATATAAATACTAATAATAATAAGTTGCAGTATTACTGAACATTATTATTTATTATCATTATCATTTCTCAACCCTGAGTTTTGTCTGCAGTTGTCTGTCCGTATAAAGTCGTCCTACTGAAAGCTAAACGCATTATTTTCATGGTTTTTGTATTAATTTGAGCGGCCAGGATGATTTTTAGCTTCATTTCACACAAATTTTATCTTTAAAAAACATTCCGGCCTTAAATACCAGTGTATAAATGTGAATCCTTGTTTCATTAATCCAGACTTTAGAGGGTGCAGCAGCAGCAGTGCTCGCCAGAACTTCATTTATTTATTAACTGTATTAAATCAGGTAAAACCTTTCTACTAGTACGGTAAAAGGATATTATTCATAGTTTTATTCCATATCTTACTGTATAAATAAAGTTTTTACCATCAAAAGAAACAGTTTTACCAAATGAAAATAGCGTATGAATGCTGGTGAGATGTGACCAGATATTAATAAACAGAAACTGTATTTACGGTCTTTTACTGTAAACTCTACAGACCTTTCTTACAGCGAGGAGACAAATGAATGTAATGATCTGTTCAGTTTAGACATAGAGCTTTTTCTGAGCAAATTTTGATTATTTGTCATTAAATGAGCAGATATTTCTGACACCCCATTAATATTCCTCTGGACCCGCCGCTGCCTATGAGAGGCGTAACCCAGGGCAACAAATTAGTAATAATAGTTATTAAAAATCTACAATTGAGATATTGAAGATAAACATTATTTATTTGATCTTGTTTCTTTGATCTTTATCGTTCTAAAGGATTTATTCTGGATCTAAATGCCTTTAACAGCTTCTCCATAAGACTCAATACTATCAGAGTAAAGATTGTAAAGATTATTAGAATATCACCCGATCAGTTCATGTATTGATTATTATTCAATTCATGAAGCATTTAAACATTTCAAAATAAAACCAAATGTTCGTCATCTTAAGAGTCTGTCTTCATTCTGAGGGTGAGAATAACGTCTCACACCCAGAACTGCCTGCCTGTCTGCCTGTCTGCCTGCCTGTCTGTCTGCCTGTCTGTCTTTCTGATTCTTTTCAGTTTTTGTGGATAAAAACATCTCAAACAATAAAACTCTGACGAGCAGAAAGATTTCAGTTCATCGCTCTGGGTTCATTTCATTTGATGTATTAAACATTTATATTTCTATATAAAGTCAAACACTGACAAATACAAACTGTTCATTTAAAGAGAATAACACAAACAAATGTTAAACATTTAAAATGAAAATATTAAACATTAAAATATTTACATTGAATCTCTTTGAGACAAATAAATAATTTATTTTATTTTTAACACGTTAATAATTATTAATTTATATTTTGTAGTTTTTCAAAGTAACATAAAGAGACTACATCTGAGTTCAGTGACCTTAAAAACCCACAGAAACCTTCACTGTCTGTTTCTCTAATATATATTACTATATACTCATTTATTCATTATTCATTTTTATTCCTGGTTTGTTGTTGTTTGTTGTTTGTTGTTGTTCCTTCTGGAAAATGAGATTCTTCATCTGAATTAGATTTTTATTATAAAATAAAGGTTAAACTTCTGAATAGAAATACACGTTTCTGTTGGTCTTTATTAATATATATATATTTATATATATATATATACATATTATATATATAAATACATATATAAATATATACACAGCAGCAGTTTGAAGTGAAAATGAAAACGAAACTTCATCCTGAGCTGATTTATAAACTGATACAGCAAAAGTTTAAAGTTTGACTAGAGGAATGTCCTGTCTGTCTGTCTCTCTGTCTGACTGTCTCACTGTCTGTGTGTCTGTGTGTCTCTCTGTCTGTCTCTCTGTCTGTCTCACTGTCTGTGTGTCTGTCTGTGGGTGTCGGACCTGTTTGGAGCCCAGCAGCGGGGTCCGGTGCAGCAGCAGGCGGAGTTTGGAGTCTCTCTGTGCGGCGGCGGAGGAGCAGCTGATGGAGGCGGTGAGGGAGAGGAGGAGCAGGAGGAGGCAGCGGAGGCGCGGGGATGAGACCATCTTCATCACCTGTCTGTCTGTCGGTCTGTCTGTCTGTCGGTCGCTCTGGCGGTCTGCGGGTCTGCGAGTCTTCTGGGTCTGTCCCGTCAGAGCGGCTCTTATACAGCCCCGCTGACGTCACTGATCACTGTCACTGTAATGGGGGGGGGAGAGGGGTGAGTGATGATGATGATGATGATGATGATGATTATGTTTCCACCGCTTCCCGCTTTAGTGAAATGATCCGTTTTCAAACACTTGTTCTTCGCTTCCTGCTGCTCCGTTGACAGAGTTTCTCCGCCAGAGGTCCGCGGCCCCCAGCGGGACGCTGCGCACGCAGGAGCGGTCACATCAAAGTTCCCTCATCAGTGACTGATCGATATTTGATCGATATTTCCGCTTGAACCTGCTAAGAGAGTTTTTGTTACAAATGTTAAAGACCTGAAGCTTCTTTCTTACCATCCTTCATCAATACTTCATCAATAATTCACCAATAAATCATCAATAAATAAATCAATAATTCATCAATAAATCATCAATAGATTAATCAACAAATTCATCAATAATTCACCATTAAATCATCAATAAATTCATCAATAATTATGCAATAATTCATCAATAAATCATCAATAGATTAATCAATAAATTAATAAATAATTCACCAATAAATCATCAATAAATAAATCAATAATTCATCAATAAATCATCATCAGATTAATCAACAAATTCATCAATAATTCACCATTAAATCATCAATAAATTCATCAATAATTATGCAATAATTCATCAATAAATCATCAATAGATTAATCAATAAATTAATAAATAATTCCCCATTAAATCATCAATAAATGAATCAATAATTCATCAATAAATCATCAATAGATTAATCAATAAATTAATAAATAATTCCCCATTAAATCATCAATAAATGTATCAATAATTCATCAATAAACCATCAATAGATTAATCAATAAATTAATCAATAATTCATTAATAATTCATCAATAGTAAATCAATAAATCATCAATAATTGTGTAACCTGATATTCCAACCTTATGATTTAGTGTCAGTGTGTGTTTGTGGTGCAGCAGGTGAACTACAGGGGGCGCTGCTTCCTCTGAACAACAATATGAACTTTTATTTGTCTCTCGATCGTCATGGATACATCGTGGCGTGAACTCGGATTAGTGAAGCGTGGCTGCACAGTAACACTCACATATAAGTGAGGGACCCGAGGGGTGTTCAGTAATCGTTCAGCTCAGGTTTTATTGTTCTTCCTCCTCCAGGTTGTTGTCATCAGTGATGTGTCGTCCTGCTGCCTGCAGACCACTAACCCGCTCTCACACACACACACACACACACACACACACACACACACACACACACACACACACACACACACACACACACAGCTGAATGGTTATTAAAGCTTTTATCTTTAATCACAGACGCCTCTACAGCTGCTTATTGTCTCTCCTTTAATGAATTCCTCCTCTCCTCACGTTTGCTGTTAAATATCCTCAACTTCATCACGTCACCTGACTCACAGCTGTCAGTCGCTGTGGGCTGGAAATGCACATTACACACATTTTATTTCTAACAGCAGGTAAACGTGTTTTCTCTCTCTTATCACGAGCTAATAACCAAAAACCTGCCTCAGTTCTTTCTCAACACACTTTAACTGCAGGAACCTGAAACAACAGCAAACAACAGGAAGGATCAGCTAAGTGTCAATAGATCGTATAAAACTGGGACCTCTGTTTCTTCTTTTGTTTACATTAATAATATTCAGGCTCTGTTACTCTGCCGCCATGTTGTGGAACAGCCTTCAGTTACTCATGAAGTCTTTAAATAAGTCTGGTTTATTTATTAAATTGTGGAAATGTGTTGTTTAGTTTTGATGTTTGAGTGTCCGGCCTTTCTTGTTGCAAATCAGTGTTTTCACTTTAAATGTTCTATTATACTTTTTGTTCTTTCTTTTCGAGGAGTTGGGTTCAGTCCGGTGCGACTCACTAGAGTTTAATTCTAGTTTAGTGCTTCCTCAACTGTAGGTCTCTTTTAGAGAGTGACAGTGATATTAAAGCTGTTTGTGGTTAAAGTAAGACGGTTTTAATCAGTTTTATTCTGTTTCTGTTCACTTTAATGAAGTTACGATGATCTGAAGGTAAAATGAGTGTTTTTGTCTCTGGAGTCTGGTGGAGAGTGATAGTGATATTACGGCTGTTTCAGATTTTGACGGTCGCATTTGTCCCCGAGGATTAATGTGCAGCCCCTTTTTATTAATATTTATAGTATTAACTCTGTGAATTAAGGATTTATTATAAACAAACGAGCATTTGTGATTGTTGGTAAAAAAAAAAAAAATAACAAAGATGGTTTTGGTGAGATTTATTTTATTTCTGGAAGTCAGTCAGTAACAGCCATTGTTTTGGCCTGAGACACTTGAGCTGCAGTTCTTCCATCCAGTTCCTGTTACAGACTCCTGGAGTTTGGTTTCATCAAGAAAATCTGCCTGTCAACAGTCGACCACTGAGTGAATATCAACCAATCCATATTTATCAGGGTCAAAATTCTGTGAATTCTTCTTTAAATTCAGATGAGCTGAAGATGGGAGAGAGGACTAATTTTAAAACTAGTAGGTTGTTGAATGTTTCTGTGTTCCACTGGGGACATTTTAAAGTCTTTTTATTTTAACTCATAGAAACACCCCGATTGAGGTCGTAATGTTCAGTAATATGTTGAATCAGTGGGAGTCTCAGTAATGAAGCTTCAATCACAGCCGTGAAAGTGTTTGTACAATCAGCGTCCTACTGTTACACTGCAAACACTAATCACACCTCCGCTCTGTGCGCATGAAAACACACAGAAGACCCATCAGTGAGTATTTTCCCCTCCGTTTATTATTTTTATTTTATTAATATTTCTGCAGAAACAAACTCTTTCACACATGGATGCATCGTTATCTAGAACATTTACAGGAATATTCCTGCCGCGGGGCGTCGTGTTCCTCCATCCATCAGAGCATTGCTGGATTTTAAAAGTGTGGGGTTTAAAGAGGGGACGTGAGCACCACATGAAAAAAATGTAACACAGCCATACAATAAATCAAAACAATGTAACGCAGCTTCGCAGGAAGAAGACCCTGGCCTCGGGAGCAGTGCGCAAGGGCCAGCTGAGAAGGGAGGAGCGCAAACACCAAGGTGCAGAGGATCCAGACCCACTATACGCCGGAGGACCACCCGTTCCTGACTGGGTGGCGATGTTGCTGCTGTCTCTCAGGCGCATCATCCCCTCAAGTCTGCGCCCTTAAAATAGCATCTGAATAAGCGCCACTGACACAGACTAGGTTTTTCCTGGTCTGTGGCGGAATTGTTTTCTGAAACAGCAAAATAGCACCAGGGAACATTTGCGCCGGAACACGCATCCTCTTTTCGCTGAACCGCCCCCCGGAGCGCAAGTTCATTCTCTAATTTAAGGATGTGCATCGGTGGAGGGAAAATTCCAATGTGCATCGAGTGCAAAATAGGAATTATACAAGCGCCAGTGTACAAAGTCAATTGCGCTGAGTGCAAGATAGAGCCCTTAATGTTAAAACTCATCACTGACCATATTGTTCATATTACCCCCATTTTATTTTATCTGGTTGATCAACCAATCAGATCAATGAACCGTAGTCAGACTCTTACTGAAGTCAGTCGGGAATCAATTAATCCTCTTTCAATGAAGAAATACTGCCCAGAACTGATGCTAGTAGCAGCTACGCTAACCTCAATCAAGAAGGTCTTGTGACGCCCCATTTGGCAACCCTTAGTGGGTAACCTCTGCATGAGAGGGGTAGCGTCATATATTGAAGGGTAACAGGTTGGATGTCAGAGCCAGTGAGTGAAGCAACTGTTGTTGTGAGTGGGCCAAATGTCTGTGATTGGCTGGATCAATCTACCTGATCAAAAGGTTTTTCATACATTGGGAAATCTTTGTCTTAAATACTGTATTGTGGGAAATGGAGTCTGCGTATGTGTATGTGTCGCAACACCTGTAACACTCACTCAGGTGTGACGCAACGTCGAAACAAACGAGTCATGGGCTGCAGTCTAGCGACTGGGTGAATCACCTGTATGAAGTCGTCAGCCGCTCACCTGGATTCTCACGTAGGTCAATGCACAGATTTAAAATGAGATAAAGTCATTAAAATTTGGCGGAGCAGCACAGGAGGATGAAACAATAAAATACAATATAAAACAATACAAATAGAGATTATCTACAGTAAAGGTTTGCTTTTCGTTAAGAATAAAGACCAATGGACTAAAAATCGCATTAGACTGAAGCTGCAGAACAGGCCCAACGGAGCACGTGAAGTGGCAGTTTCCAGTGTTGCTGACAACCTGAGTAATGAATTACCGCCTGTCATGTCGACGCCTGATTTAAGCCACTGCTCATTTCAAGAGAACCTGCGTCTGTAGTTGGTAGAGATGGGAACTATTTATCCTGCTGTCTGCTCTACCTTTTTCTGAGGAGACTAACGCAGGCTCTTTTATTTATACCCGTGTTGGGGGTTGTTTGTTTTGAAGGTGACGTTGGGGTTGCACCCTGCTCTGCCTGTTGGTGTCACACTGATTCTGGGAAATGTTGTAGCTGGTGGACGTGTCTGTAGTTGTCCCAGAAGTGCTCAAGGCTAAAATCAGGGGATTGTGCCACAGAATTTTTTCTATTGTTCTTGTCTAAACCCCAAATTCCTGTCATTTTGTGTCTTCTCCTGTCCTGCAGGTGAAAATATGTTATTTTACTGTGTCAGTAACAGCTGAGATTAGTCTACAAATGCCAGACTTGCCTCGCTTTGCTTTAAAAACCTGCTTTAATCTCCTTCTCAACTATGTTTGTTGACTGTGCCTCCATCCTTCTGGTGGGTACAAGATGAATCATAAAGTCAAAACTGCCCCATTCCTGCAAGATTTGTGTTGGCTGCCGCTGGATCCTGTCCCCAATGCCGGGATCCTACCGGGAACAGTCGCGATCAGATCAAACCTGCTCTAGACAATGCTTCCACTTCCTCTTTGCTCTGTGGATTATACGCAGCTGGTCTACTTTTGACGGAAGCTATGACCAGTCAG